ACAGGCGCTGTGGGTTAGCCTCAGCCCGAAGGCGTGGGGAGGGCAGGGAGAAGGGAACCGCGGGCTGAGCGGGGAGAGCCACGGTTCCAAGTTTGTTGGGTCTGTTGCACAAAGAAGTCTTGGCTTAGGGGGGTGTGCTTGTGTGTGTGCTTGTGTGCTTGTGCGTGTGTGTGTGCGTTTAGCCTCTGACCTCAGGGAACCTTTGGGGCCCTGAGATGTGTTTCCAGGCTTGCCTGTTGTCACCTCGCTGACACTGGCTGAGGAACGTGGTTGGTTTCTTTGGATTTGTTTAACGTTGCCTCTAAAACGGGAGTGATTCTAGGGGACAGGAATGGGAGCGTGAGCCTGAGCTTGGTGGGAAGTAATGGAGGTGAATCTTGCAGAGCAGGGCCGCCCAGTGGCCCGCGGGTAACGCCTGCCTACCCAAAGGTCCTTTTTCTCTTTTGGAGAGAACTAGAGCCCTGATATAAAGAGCCTTAATGCCCCTTTTTCAAGTAAGCTTTTTAGAAATACGTAACAAAACGCACCATTTGTCCTCGCCTTTAGTGTTTATGTATATGTTGCTTAACTTGCTGTTTGGCCTTTGTTCTCACTTTGCTTTCACTGTAGCCCCTGCTGTCCTGGGATTTACAAAGCACACCCAGCTGGCCTTGAACTCTTGGAGATTTGCTTGCCTCTGGCACGGGAATACTGGGATTAAAGGCCTCCGCCACCACACCCGTCCTTGGCTTTTGTTTTGAGATAAGATCTCTATGGCTCAGGCTAACCTCTTTGTACCTGAACTGCAGGCTTGAATGGCTTGACTTTGAACATATAAGGCCATTTTTATATTTCAAAAATTCTTAGCTCCACCTGTTTTATTACCAGTTGGACTTTGGAGTGGGTTTAGGTGCCTCTAGGGAAGCAGTTCTGCATTCTGCTGCTTGCTTTCTGTTTCTAAACCCTGACTGCTGTGTTTCTTGAGGCAAACTACAAAGGCAAACATGAAGCCTGAGTTTGCTTACATTGGGTCAGATTTAGCACAGGTGACCTTGGGGTTTTGCCTTTTGTTATGCTAATTCTTCAGAAAGCTATGACATTCCAGTAAACAGTACATACCTAGAAATGCAGTGTCTACTTCGTATGTTGAGTTTGTGCTGTATTTATCTGGCTCTGTGTGCTCTCTCTCTCTCTCTCTCTCTCTCTCTCTCTCTCTCTCTCTCTCTCTCTCTCTCTCTCTCTCTCTCTCTCTCTCTCTTTTTAAGCAAGTTAGGGTCTTGCTATGTCATCCTGGCTGGCCTTTATCTTACAACAATCCTCCTGCCTCAGCTTTCAGAATGCTGGGTTAATTAACCCTCTGACCCCCTTTTTCTTGTGTAATAGGCGTCTTGGTGCTGAATTGGGAAAATCTGTTGTGTACCAGGAGACCAATGGAGGTAAGTTAAAGTCTTTTGTATTTTTTTAATTTGGGGTTTGTTGTCCTTTGAGGCAGCACCTCCCATGGCCTAGCCTGGCTTCGTCTTCCTGCTTCGTCTCCCTGGTGCTCGGGTTACAAGCATGCACCACCACACTGGCTTCTTTCCCCTTTTCTATTTAAAATCTTTTAGACAGGCATTCACTGTGTAACCCCTCAAACTCATGGTCACCCTGCTTCTGCATCTCCAGTAATAGCACATGGGTGTTGGTTCCCTGTTTCCACCATGTGGTATCCAAGGAATTAAACTCAGGTTGGCAGCCTTGGTGGCTGGTGCCTTCACCCTCTGCGCCATCTTGCTGGATCAACCCTTGTTGTTGGTTTGGAACCTGCTAAGCAGCTGAGGATGTTATGATTTTTTTTTGTTTTTCAAGATAGGGTTTCCTTGTGGCTGGCTGGTCTTGAACTCACGGAGATCTGCTTGCCTCTGCCTCCCAAGTGCTGGGACTAAAGGTGTGCACTACCACCACCCAACTTTGATTTTGAATTCCTTATCCGCCTGCCTTAGCCTTCCATGTTCTGGGTTTGTGGGCATGTACCTATTGTTGTTGGTTTTTATTTGTACCCTTTGCTCTTTGGGGGCCCAGCTCCCAAATAAATACACAAAGACTTATGACTTTTTTCTTATGAATGCCTGGCCTTAGCTTGACTTGTTTCTAGCCAGCATTTCTTAAATTATCCCATCCATCTGAAAGATTATTTTACATGTCAATCCTAGTTCCCTCTCCCTCCCCAATCTGATCCATCTTTAGCCTTTGGGCTTTTACGGTTCTCAATTCTGTATGCTTTCCTTCCCTTCTTACTCCATTGCTGGCTGTGTGACTGGGTCCCTGGCGTTCTCTTTTTTGCTCCTCCTTCCTTCTATTCTCTTTGCTGGCAGCCCTGCCTATTTCTCCTGCATAGCTATTGGGCATTCAGCTCTTTATTAGACAAATCAGCTGTTTTAGACAGGCAAAGTAACACAGCCTCACAGAGTTAGACAAGTGCAGCATAAAAGAAAGCAGCGCATCTTTGCATTAAAGCATGTTCCACGGCATGACACATCTTCAGCTTATATTCCACAATGTGCGCCATCATGCCCAGCTTGGTGGGTTTTTTGTTTGTTTGTTTTGTTTTGTTTTGTTTTTCAGGACAGGGTTTCTCTGTGTAGCTTTGGAGTCTATCCTGGCACTCGCTCTGGAGACCAGGCTGGCCTCGAACTCACAGAGATCCGCCTGCCTCTGCCTCCCAAGTGCTGGGATTAAAGGCATGTGCCACCACCGCCTGGCTAAAAACTGGTGTACTTGTGCATTAGATAGTGCTCTAATTAGTGTTTCCTGGGTGGTGGTGTGCTTGGGTGTGGTGCACATGGAGGTGAAAGGACAAGCTTTGGGGCTCAGTTCTTCCCTGTCTTTTGGAACAGGGTCTCTCTTATTGTTTCTGCTGCTTAGAGTGCACAGTGGGAGTGCTGGGTTATAGAGACCAGCCACCGAGTGCCTGTGTGTGCCTGTGCACACAGTGCTACACACAGAGCTCATGGCGTCAGGCTCGAATATCGAGTGCTTTTCCTCACTGGTGCCTGTTCCAGGTCGGTGTCCTCAGGCCTTGCAGCTAGATGCTGTCCATTGTCCTCCCATGCACGTGTCCTGTTGTTTTTAAGATAAGTAAAGGAGAGATGTACAGAATGTTTTCGTTTTTCTTCTCCTTTGCGCTCTATTTGGTAAATATGTCTTATACTTACTAGGACATAGAATTATAGCACACACAGTCTGTTGCTAGGAATAATGACTGGAGTCCCCTTTGCTGGGGTGGAGATAGGGAGAAGGAGGTAGTAGTCCTTGCTGTACATCTGTCACCTGGCTGGAGCTCACAGGCCAACCAGCCTAGGAGTATCTGTGAGCTAAGTTTAGTGAAAGAGCCTGTCTCAGATGGAGAGACACCTGATGGCTGTAAGGATTCGGGCATTACAATGGGCCTGCTCCACCACCTGGCAGAATGCACTCAGGCAGTACCCTGGTCAGCCCAGGGTTCTATGACACTAGTCTACACACAGGTGCAAAGGACCCCTTTAAAAGACAGACCCCAGCCACTTATGCTCTCTTTCCCACTGTTCCCCTGGGGCAGACAGGACTTTTCCTGTCTCCCTCTTCTCTTCTGTCCTCTGTCTCTCTCTTTACCTCTCCCCCCCTTCTAATAAAAGTTCTCACTTAAGCTCTGTCTGCTTGGCATGTTTGTACCCCGCCTCGGTCAACCTCCACTGCCATGGAATCCGCCAAGGTCCCCCACGTGCATTATAACAATGGTGACACACATCCCATTCAAATTCTGATTGTCACACTGGGTTAGTGGCCCAGTTTTGCTTCCCCCTGGGTTGTGTAGAAAACTAAGTATAACACAAGGAATGCTTTAAGGTACCTGACTGTCCTACTAACACTGTGTCATGATCTAGGAGAGCTACGTACCTCAGGACATCCAGCTCTTACTTTTGGGGGAGGGGAGGGTCTGAGTCATGGTTTCTCTGTGTAGCTTTGCAGCCTGTCTTGGAACTCACAGAAATTCACCTGCCTCTGCCTCCTGAGTGCTGGGATTAAAGGTGTGGCACCACCACCGCCAGCCCATTCTGCTCTTCTTATCTGTTGCAGAAAAAGATATTGAAGAGTCAGTTGTTGTGGTACCTGCCTATAATCTCAGCACTGAGGCTAAGGCAAGAGGAATGCCATGAGTTTGAGCCCATTCTGCGGGGGGATGGAGTGGGGGGTGTTATGATGACATGGACAGATCAGCCAGGCTTACCAAGTAAGGCCCTACCTCACAAACCAAAACCAAGCCTAGTGTCATAATGTCTAGGGATCCAGGTAAGACAGTGGACAATTGGATGGATAGTTGAAGGAATGCACACTAACAGAACATGTGAAAGTCATGTGTTTTAATTAGCATCATGTGTCCTTCAGTGAGCTTTCAACCCTAGCTGCTTTCTTTGGGTGGGTGGGTGTGTGTCTGTGTCTGTGTGTCTGTGTTCCAGAGAGGCCAGGCAAGGGCATCAGATCCCTGGTGTCCAGTGTGGGTGCTGGGGTTAAGAGGCTAGAGGAGGAAATGACAGGGACGCTCTCCTTGCTCTTCATCACTGCTGCAGGTCTCCTTATCGCTGGAACTGCGGCATCAGAAGTGTTCCAAGTATCCATAACCTTCCCTCTAGCCCATCTGTTCATTTATGCCTGTGAAAATACTTTTAAGTCTTTTGGAGGCGTGATGGGCGACTAGTTGCAGGGATTGATACCAGGGAAAGGTTTACTAATGAGCTACTTCCAAGCCTACTTAGATGCAAGTGTTCCTCATCTGAGGTTGAGTGCCCTCCACCTGAAAGTCGGACTAGAAGTTTACAGATCTAGAAACATTTGCATAGACTACTAGTTAGGAATTTCTAAAGCGTTGAGTGTCATCAGCACCCCAGAGGTTTCAGGCTTGGAAAGATTTTCGGTTTAAGGTTTTAGATTATGATGCTCAGCTCTGTGCTACCACAGGCTAGAGTGAACTTGCTTAGCAGTCAGACTGGGGTCCTTTGGGGTCTGGCTCTGCCCACTCCCCCTGGTTGAATGTGTCACATCCTGAGCTCTGCTTCTGCATATACAGCCTGAGTCAGTCTAAGCTCTTCCAGTGTCTCCTTGTTGCCAGTCCTGCACTACCATCGTTTCCTTCTCACAGTAGCCAGCCACCCGCACCCCAGCTTTGCTTTCCTGTCACATGGTTTTATTTTTTATGTGCATTGGTGTTTGGTCTGCAGTCATGTCAATGTGAGGGTGTTGGACCCCCCAGAACTGTAATTACAGACAGTTGTGAGCTCCCATGTGCTTGTTGGGAATTGAACCTGGGTTCTCAGAAGAGCAGCTGGTGCGTTTAACTGCTGAGCTGTCTCCAGCCCCCCAAAAAGCTTCAGCAAGGATTCTTTTGGTTTGGTTTGGTTTTTTGAGACAGGATTTCTCTGTGGCTTTGGAGCCTGTCCAGGAAGTAGCTCTTGTAGACCAGGCTGGTCTCAAACTCACAGAGAACCGCCTGCCTCTGCCTCCCAAGTGCTGGGACTAAAGGTGTGTGACAACACCGCCTGACTGTTTTGTTTTTGAGACAGGATTTCTCTGTAACAGTCCTCGCTGTCCTAAAACTCACTTTGCAGAGCAGGCTGGCCTGAGTGAGTTCCTCCTTCCTCCAGTTCCTATCATGTTTCTGTCAGGCTGCTCTTCTTGCCTTTTCTCCATGACTATCCTGTGGAAAGCTGGGTCAGACTGAGATCCTATTCATCACCTTGGTTCAGGTCCTCTCCAGGACCAAGCACACGGCCTGTCTCAGCATGCCACTGTAATTTGAAAGTCTAACAGAAAAAGAAAAGAAAAGGAATAAAAAAAAAAAAGGCTAACAGATGTTCAGTTTCGCTTCTTGATTTGCCACAGACACTTTCCCCAGTACCTTGTTCATGTCTTTATTTTGGTGACAGCTTTTGGAATTTTGGTGGGGGGTGGGTATTTGACACATTTGTTGGTTTTGTTGTCTTTTACCCTCAGCCTGGCCTCTCTGTGTATGAGTATTTTAGTTAAGACTTAAATTACACCAGATGGGGCTGTTTAGAATCCTCTTTATCCCAGCTGTTGTCTGTTACTGCACCATGAACTGTCTAAACTTGAACACTTTGTTTTGTTTCAGAAACAAGAGTTGAAATCAAAGAGTCTGTTCGTGGCCAAGATATTTTCATTATACAGACAATACCCAGGTAAGACTTAACACCACTCTGTGAGTCCGTTTTCCTCTGAGAAACTTCCTTTCCATGTGAACAGCAATCCAAGGTTGATTTTTCTTACTGTTTTGTTCTAAATTATAAATTCATGCTTGGCTTGAGGCTGAGGCAGAAGGACAAGTTCAAGTTTTGCTTAGGCTGCAACTTAGTGAGACCTGCTTCAGAAAGTTAAGAAATTGCCAAGCATGGTGGCACACATCTTTAATCTTAGCACTCAGAAGGCAGAGACAGGTAGATCTCTGTTTCAGGCCACTACATAACAAGTTCCAGGCCAGCCAAGGCTACATAGTGAGACCCTGCCTTAGGGAAAAAAAAAAAAATTTTTTTTTTTTTTTTTTTTTTTTTTTTTACATTTAGTGGAGGTGAGGGTTTCGTGTGTCATGTACATGAGGAGAGCAGAGAACAATGTGTAGGAATTAGTTTTCCTCATTCTACCATGAGTCCTAGGAGTGGATCTAACCCGGGTCATCATTGTTAGCAGTTACTAACTGAGCTCAGTGGTGGAGTACTTACCTAGAGTATACAAGGTCCTGGGTTCAGTGCCTAGCACTGTCCAAAATACAGGAGACCGGGGGAAATGGATCCTGCATTCCTCCTCTGCAGCCTTATATGTCTCCTGACTGTTGTCCTTAAGGAAGCCTCCTACTGTGTGCATCTCATATTGCCTGCTGCTCTAACCCAGACTGTCCCCACCAGACAGCTGACTTTCCTGAGCCAGCTGGCCCTAGACCTCTCTCACATTTCCTCTGCCTGGAGATATCTTCCCTGAGAAGTTCAGACGGCTTGTTCTCACTCAGCCCTCTGTCTCCTTCTCAGCTTGAAGAGCCTTCACTAAGGGAGCACTGATGTTCACACAGCTGCCCTGGGGCCTCCTCAGTTCATCCTTTGGCAGTGAGCAGTATTGTCATTGTCATCTCTTTCTCTCTGAATGCTAGAGTTTCTCAGGAGCTGGAAACAACTTTCATGAAATCCTAGGTCCTTGGCCATCACCATAGACTATGGCCCTTGTCAGAGGGTGGAGATAAGATCTCTAGAACCGACCTGCATGTCTGTCCTGCTCTGTCCTTCCCTGGGTGTTGCCATCCAGAACTGTTCTTACTTAGCATAGGAGAGTGCTGCTAATGTCCTTTGAGGTTGAGGTTTGCTCTTACACAATCTGTGTTCTTAGCATCTCATGGAAGCCAAGAGTGTTCAGAACAAATATTTAAGCCAGCAGTGCAGTGACCCTGGGACGGTGATGGAAGGTAGCAACATGATCAAATAATGAAGTGCTTGGAGCAGTTCACAGGGGGCAACTGACTGCCAGGAGATTTTTTTTTAGACACAGGGTCTCTGTATGTAGCCCAAACTGTCCTTGAAAAGGGCGCATGGGCACAGATGTGTGCTGGCCTTGAGGACATGGCTTCCCTTCGTTGAGTTTGTTTGAGAACTTAAAAGTCA